AACTACTTTCAGACACAAGACAAGAGGAGGTATTCCAAAGCTTATAGGAACTGAAGAGACCAGTCATAGAATCTTAGAGTTACAAAAGACTCAAATGCCATGTAGCTCAGCCTATGTCTATATAAAAAACCCTTCTACAACATTTCTAAAAAGTGACAGAGCAAGCTCTGCTTGGAGACCAGTAAAGGAGAACCCTTCTGAGGCAGCTCATTCTACTACAAGACTGCTCTAATTCTCAGAACAATTTTCTGGACATAATAATTTAAATCTGCTTCATTAAAAATTTAGCCCAATATTCCTAGTTCTGCCTCCCAAGAAATAGACAGGAAGAAATCAAATCCTTTTGTGTTGGCACTGACACTTACATGAAATTCAGCAAACGCTATGGTTCCTTGTGTGCCCTCCACCGGTTTCATATAGCTGGGTTTTCTCTTAACACCTGAACTGTGTGACCTTTTCAAAGGTAGGGGCCGTGACTTGTCCTTTTACCACTAGAAAAACCTAAGAGGATTAGATTCACAATAGGTTCTCAGGAGATTTTACTAAATTAATGACCAACCTTATCCTGTAGCAGAAGCAAATTTTGTATTTGTTCAAAAAATGATTTTGAAAAGAATATGCCATGTGGAAATAAAAATGCCTAGGAAAGCAGACTTCTTTTCTCATTCCAGCATTGTGTGCATGGGCACATATGTGTTTACAAGTATGAGTATCTAGAGAGAGAAAGGTGAGGACAAAAAAGATTCCCTCCATAAGTAAATATTAGATATGACCTACTAGAATAAGAAAAGGGCTAGGAATGACTTGGACAAAGACCACTTTATTTGTTTCCCTTCTAACTATCTCCCTCCTCAGACATGAGCAATCTCTAACAAAACCCTCAGGCTCACTGCCAACATCAAGAGAATCCCCAATCTTTCTATTGTCCCTGCCCTCTCCTTCCTCTTCATTCAAATCCTTCTTCGTCTGAATCTTAAACTACATTTGTCAAGGACCAACAAAACTCACCATGAAGTTTGTGCTCCCTCTGATCAGGGGAGCTCAGATGCAGAACCTTTCTCTCTAACTTCAAACGCAGTTCCTTGGATTGAAAGAGCCAAGGCTTTAAGTGCAGTAGCATAAGTAATGTATTTATGGCTATAGGAAATGGATGAGACAGAAGGGCAGCTGTGCTTTAACTACCCAAGGGAACACTGGCTCCAAGACTTGCTCTTGGGAGAGGAGCATTGACCAGAGGGAAAAGAAAAACAAAACAAAACACAAAAATAAAAGACAAAACACCCAAATAAGACAATGCAAGCCCAGATCACTCCAACAACTTTTTCCTCAAACTTTTAACAGTTGCTCTCACCCACATTACTTCATGAACCATCATCAAGGAATAACAATGGAAACAAAAACAACTCATGGTATTTTCAAGTTAAACATTATGGGAAGAGTTATTCCACATAAAGAAACATCCTTTAATCACCAATCACTTTTCTTTTAAGAATGTTGAATGAAAGTTTTCTTCAATTATATTGATTACGGCCTGCCCTCTCACACAGAAGATACTGAATATCCTTTCTATTTTAACTGTAATTTCATGATGAACTAGAGTCATATTCATGAGCATTTGGCATTGGTTTGTGATTTGGCTATTGAGATTGGAGGGGCATAATGGATCTGTTTGGTTTCTTGTGTCTTCTTGTATACAAGGATAATTACTATAAAAGCAAGCAACCTTAGAGGTCATCTAGGTCAATGTGAACCTGACCAAGAATCTCCCCTACAAGATCGTAAAAATTAGGTATTGAATTGGTGATCAAAGAACCTAAGAAAGGCAGAAAAGAAATATTATATATATATATGCGTGTGTATATATGTATATATACACACATATATATGTATATATGTATATATACACACACACACACATATACATATATATGTGTGCGTGTATATATATATATATACACACACACAGGCAAATATGTATACATATATGCATATACATACACATGCGTATATATATATACACAGAGATATATGTATATATACATCTATACACACATACCCACATATATACATATACTGTGTGTATGTATATGTATATATGTATAACTTGGTTTTTGTCATGTTTTCATATGTAACTTAATATTCTATTCTACTGTTCTTTCAATAGGTTATCTATTATTCTTTATGATGTCTGGCAAATGTATATGTATACATATACATATTTATTTTCTGAAGAACTGAATTTAAAGTTTTCATCACTTTTAATGAGATTCTCAATATCCTAGGGATATGTCTTTCTATACATATATGCATGTACATGTGTGTACACACACACATATCTACAGAAAGAAAGGCAGATTTATAAAGTAAACAGCTAGTTAAAAAAGTGACATTTTAGAACTAGATTTTATTTTGAGGTGTCGATATAGAAGAGAACAATGAATTCTTAGTAGAGTACATCTGATATATAACCTATAACTTAATTTGTATATGTATGCATAATATATGTGTGTGCATGTGTGCACACACACATACACATGTACTGCAGAAGTGGAAGCCTATAGATATGAAATGTTAAAAAATACCATCAAATAGAGATAATATATTTGTTAGTTTTGCTAAACTAATGTCTTCTGTTTTCTTTTAAATTCTTGGTACATGAGGTGGTTTTGGGGAAGGGAAAAGGGAAGTTATATATTTGGAAATGAATGTGAACTAACAAAAAAGAAACTAAAACAAAATATATCAATAAAAGTAAGATATATTAAAGATATGTTTGAATTTAATGCTTATTTTATAACTCAGAGGAAATAGAGAACTATTGAAGACTTCTTTAACAGGAAAGTAATTTTGTGAATCTGTGCATTTAGAAGATGAAGCTGGTAGTTGTACAATGGGGTAGAGATAAGAGCAAAGTGCTTGGACCAGGAAAAACTGATTATTTTAACATTTCAGTTGAGAAGTAAAAAGAGCCTGAATAAGGATTGTAATAGCTTGACTGAAAGATATGTAGGGGATAGATAGATAGATTTCAGAGATATTTGAATGTAGAATTCATGGGTCTTGGCCTCTGATTAGACATAGGACTTGGGAGAAAAGTTAAAAGAAGACTCTTAGGTTTCTAGTCTCAGTCCCAGGTATTATAGTACTGTCAGATGAACCTAAATCATAAAATTGGGAAAAGAGTCAAGTTTTGGGGAGAAGATACATTCAGGGTGATCTTATCTGTCTCCAGGCTGAATTATACATTTTATTCAGCATTCCCCAGAAACCTTTTCATACTGAAAGCTTCCTCCAGCCCTGGAATTCATATATTGGAAGCACACTCTGATCCCGTGGCCTCTCCCTCTATCTGGATACCCAGAACCTCCATTTAAAGGGTTTCTGGAATAGTCATGTCTCATTCTTCTCCAGGCTGAATTCGGAGCTTCTTCTACCATACATCCACGAAGGGTACCTTCACCCATTCATTCCCTTTTCATTTTATGTATTGTCTTCCCCCATTGAAAGGAATGCTCCTTAAGGGAAAGAATTATTTTTCTTCTTTTGTTTGTATTGCTTAGTATATAACAGTGCCAGGTACGTAGTTAAGTGCTTAATGATGGCTTGATATTGTTCTTTCCTTTGATATTTTTGTAGGTCTATAGGTCAAGTTATCTAGCAAGCAACTAGAAATGCACAGAATTCAGGAATGAAAATATAGATTTGGGAATCAACTATATAGTGACAAACAGTGGGATCAGAACAGAAGACCTGGCTAAAGAAAAGAGCTTAGTAAAAGAAGAACACAGCACTGTGAATACTGAGGGATGGAAAAAGGAAAAAAAAATCAGTAAAAACAGAGAAGGGTTTTTTTTTCCATACAAATGGGAGGAGAAACAAGAGAACAATGTAAAAAAAATTGAAGGAAAATATCAAGAAAGAAGAAGTGGTCAATAGAGTCTAATTTTTTTTTAAATGTTTCCACTTAGTAATATTTTATTTTTCCCAATTACATGTAAAGACAATTTTCAGTATTCTTTTATAAGATTTTGAGTTCCAATCTTTTTCTCCATCTCTTCCCATACCCCCTCCCCAAGATGGCATGCAATTTGATATGGGCTATACATGTACAATCCTATTAGACATATTTCCACATTAGTCATGTTGTAAAGGAAGAATCAAGACAAAATGGAAAAAAAAAACACACAAAAGAAAAAAAATGAAGTAGTATGTGTCAATCTGCATTCAGACTCCATAGTTCTCTGTCTGGATGTGAATAGAATTTTCCATCATGAGTCTTTTGGAATTGTCTTAGATTATTGTAGTGATGAGAATAAATAAGTCTATCCAAAGTTGGTCATCACACAGTGTTGCTGTTTCTGTGTACAGCGTTCTCTTGGTTCTGCTCACTTTGCTCATCTGCTCAGTTCACTCATCACAGCATCAGTTAATATAAATCTTTCCAGGTTTTTCTGAAATCTGCCTGTTCATCATTTTTTATAGAACAAAAGTATTCCATTACATTCATAAACCCCAACTTGTTCAGACATTCCCCAATTGATGGATATCCCCTCAATTTCCAATTCTTTGCTACCACAAAAAGGCTACTATAATAATTTTTTTGTACATGGGGGTCCTTTTCCCTTTTTTATGATCTCTTTAGGATACAGACCTAGTAGTAGTATTGCTGGATCAACGGGTATGCACAGAGAGGATTCTGGGAAGATGGTGGAGTAGGCCAGAAAATTCCAATCTCTCAAGATTTTACCTCACAAAACAGATGAAATAGTGCCTCAGGACAAACATAGAGTAGTAAAAATAAACAAGAGTTGATGCAGAATAGGGGTCTCCTGGAACAATCAGAGAAGATCTGAAAAAAAATTCCTGGACCAGGTTTGGTCTCTGTGAAGAGTAAACACCTGCAGGCTAGGTCCTAGGTCCACTTAAACTACAAATGGGAAGCCTTGGGGTTAGCTGGGTTGGGAGGCTGATTCAGCCCTAGCTTGCAGGAACTTTTACCCCTAGGACAGTGAGGGGAGTTGGGTAGCTAAGCCTTGAGGATTGAGGGAACCTCTGCTGGCAAGGAACGCCAGACCCATGTGTGCTGCTGAAGGAACCAGCATGTGCCTGGTCAGTACAGAAGCAATGGGGTGGGCGATGCTGCTGGCCGTCACCCCCAGTTCCTAATGACCAATGTAAAGTACATGAAATAGAAATCTAAAGTAATCCAATATAGGAAAAAGAAACTCATCTAGATACAAAAAGTATCCTACCAAAGAGTAAATGCTGCTTGAAATAGATTTGCAGGAGGAATCTATCAGCTTTTTCATAATATATAATACTTATACTACCCATTTTTGTACAAATTGAGAATTTCAGGAAAATATTATAAATAAACACAATTCATAGCTTTACTTCTTCACAAAAATATTATAGAACTTTATTCAGATATCATTCATTATAATCAAGCTGAGTTTTCATCAGGCAGTCAAGGATAATTCAAATTTAGGGAAATAATTAAGATTATGATATTAAGAGCAAAATATCAAATATGAAAGGATTCAGATGCAGTCTTCAATAATATATAATGTATTCTAAAAATTTCACAAAATATAAGCATAGAAGAAACTTTTTGTAAAAGCATTTTATGAAATGGGGAATACACTTGATTTCTGAGTAATTAAAAGCAAAGTTTACCCCATTCCTCAGTGTTGCTTGACACAGTTACAGAAATGCTAACAACAACAACAAAACAAAAGAAACTTAGGAATTGGGGTGTAAGGGGTAGGAATAGGAGAGCTCATTAGCAGGGAGAGCAAATGTCTTATAGAAAAGACAGAGCCATGCTACCCAATTCATTCTCAGGATAGTAAAATGAACTCCACTTCAGCTGTGTGACTTCATCCATTAGTGTAAGTCCAAGGTAACACTAAGTACATTAGAGACAGCATAGTGTTTTCTTCTCAAGGCATATGGTTTAAGAGTGCAGTGTTGCTGGAAAGCAAATTTCATGAGTTTAATGTTCTTCTGAAAGAGTAGAAGGATCCATTATTAGAAACACAGATTCATTGTCTGAACTATTTGCATGCAGGGTGAATTTCATTGGTGACTGAATTTTAAGGTTGTAATTTAGGTTTGTATTTTATTCTGAATACAAATCTACCTTTAAGTGTTACATTTAATGACTATGTTGTGTAAGGGGAACTGTCATATAAAGAAGAGATAACTGATGCAAGAATTCTTTCCCAAATTCATCACACATATAAGGCTTCTCAGCCTTGTATACTGTAGTGATCTTAAATTTTTGATTTAACACTTTCCCATATTCATCACATATATAGATCTTATTTATTGTGGACTCTGTTGATTGTAAAAATATTAAATTCAGCTGAATCATGTAACTATACTTATAAAAATAGACATTTATTCATAATGCTGATTCTCTGATTATCATGAAGCATTAAATTTTGTCTGAATTATTTCACCTACTTATTAAATAAGTGGTCAAAGGTAGAGTAATTCTCCAATATGGAGTCTCTGATGGTCATGAAGTTTTGACTTTCCATCCCTTCTCACACTCATCACATATCTAGGGCTTCTCTCACGCTAATTTTATGATGTTTATAAAGATCTGACTTCCGTTTGAATCCTTTCCCACACTCATCACATATATAGGGTTTCTCTCCAGTGTGGACTCTCTGATGTTCATGAAGATTTGACTTTTTTATGAATCCTTTCCCACACTCATCACATATATAGGGCTTCTCACCTGTGTGGACTCTCTGATGTTTGTGAAGATTTGACTTTTTTATGAATCCTTTCCCACACTCATCACATACATAGAGCTTCTCTCCAGTGTGGACTCTCTGATGTTCATGAAGATTTGACTTTTTTATGAATCCTTTCCCACACTCATCACATACATAGAGCTTCTCTCCAGTGTGGACTCTCTGATGTTCATGAAGATTTGACTTTTTTATGAATCCTTTCCACACTCATCACATACATAGGGTTTCCTCCAGTGTGGACTCTCTGATGTTCATGAAGATTTGACTTTTTTATGAATCCTTTCCCACACTCATCACATACATAGAGCTTCTCTCCAGTGTGGACTCCCTGATGTTCATGAAGATTTGACTTTTTTATGAATCCTTTCTCACACTCATCACATATATAGGGTTTCCCTCCAGTGTGGACTCTCTGATGTTCATGAAGATTTGACTTTTTTATGAATCCTTTCCCACACTCATCACATACATAGAGCTTCTCTCCAGTGTGGACTCTCTGATGTTTGTGAAGATTTGACTTTTTTATGAATCCTTTCCCACACTCATCACATACATAGAGCTTCTCTCCAGTGTGGACTCTCTGATGTTCATGAAGATTTGACTTTTTTACGAATCCTTTCTCACACTCATCACATATATAGGGTTTCCCTCCAGTGTGGACTCTCTGATGTTCATGAAGATTTGACTTTTTTATGAATCCTTTCCCACACTCATCACATATATAGGGCTTCTCACCTGTGTGGACTCTCTGATGTTCATGAAGATTTGACTTTTTTATGTCCTTTCACACTATCACACATATATAGGGCTTCTCACCTGTGTGGACTCTCTGATGTTCATGAAGATTTGACTTTTTTATGAATCCTTTCCCACACTCATCACATATATAGGGTTCTCCTGTGTGGACTCTCTGATGTTCATGAAGATTTGACTTTTTTATGAATCCTTTCCCACTCATCACATATATAGGGTTTCCCTCCAGTGTGGACTCTCTGATGTTCATGAAGATTTGACTTTTTTATGAATCCTTTCCCACACTCATCACATATATAGGGCTTCTCACCTGTGTGGACTCTCTGATGTTCATGAAGATTTGACTTTTTTATGAATCCTTTCCCACACTCATCACATATATAGGGCTTCTCCAGTGTGGACTCTCTGATGTTCATGAAGATTTGACTTTTTTATGAATCCTTTCCCACACTTATCACAGTTATAGGGCTTTTCTCCAGTATGGACTTTTTGATGTTCATGAAGATTTGACCTTTTAATGAATCCTTTCTTGCATTCTGTGCATGTGTAGGGCTTCTCTGCAGTATGGGCTTTCAGGTGATAATGAAGTATTGACTTATTAATGAATAATTTCCTGTACTCATCATATTTAAAGGTTTTCTCTCTACTCTGAGTTGTCTGATGAATATAAAGTATTGACCTTGGGGTGAAACTCTTTCCATACTCTTCAGTGTGAACCTTCTGATGATCATTAAGTTTTGATTTATAAATGAATCCTTTCCTGTACTCCTCACATATATAAGCCTTCTCTCCAGTGTGAAATCTCCTATGATTACAAAATATTGACTTCCAACTGAATCCTTTCCCACATTTATCACACATATAAGAATTTTCTCTTCTGTGGATTACCTGATAAACATTATATTTTGACTTCTGAATGAATCCTTTACCACATTTGTTACATAAATAGAATTTTTTTCCCATATGGACACTCTTATGAACATTCAATTGTGTCTTATTACTAAACAGTTTCCCACAATCATTACACTTATATGTTCTCTGTCCTCTGTGGTATCTGAGAAAAGCTTGTGAGAAAAAATGTTTCCAATAGATGGATCATTTATGGAATCTTTAACACACAAAATGCTACTGGTACATGTGTCTATACAATGATCAAATGAAGAGTTGCTTATCTTGATGTCCTTGGCTTTCTCACTCATAGGATCTCCTGGCTATCTTGCTTCATTTTCTTACCCTTGTCTCATGGAGTAGTTTATTGGATGAAATAAGAACAATGTTGACTCAGTCACTTCTCTGAAGATTTCAAAGATTTTCTTTATTTTAACCTTTGTACCAGTTTCTCATGGGTTATGCAATGGTCTTTGTTTTCCTGCCATTATTTCTTTGAAATCAAGTGAGCACATTTTCATACATCTGCCAAAGTATAACTTGATTTTTATTTTATTTTGAATATTCAGCAAAATGTTTTAAATCCTTGAGTATTCATTGTCAGTTGTACCTAAACAAATAATTCCTACAGTTCTATTTCTGGCACATCCTTGTATCTTTTCCTTTGAATAGTCTTCATTTTTTTTCCTAAATGCTACAAATGAGTGGCAAACTTTCCACAGCTTTTTTTAGTTTTTTCTATGTATTGTGACTTGTTCATGGTAGAATCACAATTATATTCAGATTACCATATTTCTGAATGAGTTCTCATCTTCCAAGTTTGTGATATAGAATAAAAGTGTTCTCTATCTTTATTTCTATCTCTTTGGTAAATTGTTCTCAATACTTTGGACAATTTCCTGAAATTAAGACAAAAAACATAATGATTTTCTTCAGAATTTTCCAAGGAACCTCTTCTCTGATTCATGACATTAGGTACAAGTATAACAAAATAACAAACACTTACTGAACCAATTAAATTCAGTAAACAATTTTTATAAATATGTGGTATAGAGAACACTGTTCCCTCTACCCTAGGGGAGATCAGAAAACAAATAAGAGGCAGTTTCTGTACCCATAAACCAAACAGAGATTAGGAATAAAAAGAGAAATGTTGAACTAAATATAGTAGAAAAGTAATCAAAAGTTGATAAAAGGTCAAATAATCACTGTGTGTTGGAGAGAGAAGATATTAATGATGGAGGAAATTGGCAAGAAAAAAAGGAGGGGGTAGAGACACAATAGCTGAGTAAAAGCAGTGACTTGCTTGAGTTCTCCCTCAAACCCCTCCAAATATCTGTAAAAAATGTCTCTAAACAAATTGTAAAGCAGCAGAACCCACTAAAGGACTGAGTGAAACAAATTTACAGCCCAAAACAGACTGGATGATTGATTGGAAAGGTATATTGCACCAAGTGGTGAGAGGAGAGCAGTTATGCTTGGATACGCAGGCAAGGCAGGCCTCAACAAACCTGAGCATGCCTCAGAAGACTGAATCAAGAGCAGCTGTGGCAGTTTCCAGACTTTTCAACTCACGAACACCAAAGACAACTTAGAAGGTAAGGGGGAAAAGTCTGTGACTATGGTGACAGAGAAGTGTGGTCCCCACCCCAGTCCCTGAGTGAGGCCCTGGGGTGGCGGCTGCTTCAGGCCAAAGACTGAAGTGGAATCAAATGGTTGATCAGAGGGAGATTGAAAGGACCTCTCTGCTGGTGCAGGATTCTCTTGTTTTGCCTGTGCTTGGATCTGGGTCACAGTTCTGGGTGTTGGTCCTGGGGCAAGGAGGAATGCTGGCATGGTGGAACTTGTAGTGGTGGAGGAGAAGAAATCCTCCTCACAGTTCCAAGGCAGAAAAAAGTGCTTGTGGTCAGTCACAGACCAGAGGACAGGCCAGGAAAGGAGTAAATACCTTATCCCTTTTTTACAGGTCCCTAGAATTATCTCTGAAAACAGCTACACAAAAACCCTGAAGCTTGAGATACTACATTCTCCACATTGGAAATAGACCTCTACTTTAACAAAGAGTTTATAACTCAAGTAATTGGCTGGGATCATGAATAAACAAAGGTCCAAAAAGAGTCAGACCATAGAATCTTTCTTTGGTAACAAAGAAGATCAAAACATACAACCAGGACTTCCACTTCCGTGAGCCTAGATGGTGGAGTAAAAAGGTAGTTGCTCTCACCCTCCCCTATCAACCTCTGAAAACCCAGAAAATATCACCCCAGAAAAAAAACCCTGGAACAGCTGAAGAAAGACAGAAGAAAGACAGGGGAGAGGGAACAGCAGTGCAGCTGCCCAGTAAATGGGTCTCCCAGTGCCTCAGCAAAAATAAGGGAAGCAGCACTACAAAGGGCCCCAGGCAGTTAAGCACCCTGCAGCGCCCATCTAAAAGGAGCTGAAGAAAGCTAAAGGAAAGGAAAAGCAGGCAACCTAGAATTGCATGAAAGTTCAAGCCTTGCTGATTCCAGCCCAACACCAGGTAAGCTGCCAGAACTTTACAGCCTCCAACTGCCAACATAAGAGGGCCCAGCACACAAAGCCAGTGACCAAGACCTAGGCTCCCAACACAAGAAGCTTGGGTCAGTGCCCTCTGTTCCCCAGAAGGAGAGCTCAATCTCTTTAAAGGCCATGGAATAAAGAAACCATGAATAAAAAGAAATGTACCATAGATTCATATTATGAGAAGAGTGAAGATCAAGACAGAAATTCTGAAGAGGACAACATTGTCAACAAACCCACACCTGCAATATCAAAAGGAAATATGAACTGGTCTGAAGTCCAAAAAGCCTTCTTAGAAGAGCCCAAGAAGGATTTTAAAAGTCTAATGAGAGAGGTAGAAGAGTCCTTAAAAAATACAATTGGCCAATTGGAAAAAAAGTACACTGAAGAAAACAAGTCCCTAAAAAATACAATTGGCAAACAGGAAAAAAAGTACACTGAAGAAAACAAATCCCTTAAAAATATAATTGCCCAACTGGAGAAGGAAGTACAAAAACTAACAGAAGAAAACAATCTGTTAAAAACTACAATTGGAGAAATGGAAACTAATGACTCTATGAGAGAGCAAGAATCAGTCAAACAGAAAAGAAAAAATGAAAACAATAGATGAAAACGTAAAATACCTTATCAGTAAAACAACTGACCTGGAAAATCGATCCAGGAGAGACAATTTAAAAATTATTGGACTACCTGAAAATCATGATGAAGAAAAGAGCCTGGACAATATCTTTCAGGAAATCATAAAGGAAAACTTCCTGAAGTCCTAGAACAAGGAGGTAAAATAACCATAGAAAGAATACATCACTCACCACCTGAAAGAGATCCCAAATTGACAATGCCAAAGAGTATAATAGCAAAATTACCAGATGAAAGTGAAGGTACTGCAAGCCAGACAGAAAGAAACAATTTTAATATCATGGAACCACAGTCAGGATTACACAGGACCTTGCAGCTTCTACATTAAAAGACCACAGGGTATGGAACATCATATTCTGTAAGGCAAAGGAGCTTGGATTGCAGGCAAGGATCAACTACTCTGCAAAAAAGCATGATTTTCAAGGAATGAGATGGATATTCAACAAAACAGGGGACTTCCAAACCTTCCTGATAAAAAGACCAGAGCTCAAAAAAAAAATTGATCTTCAAGTACAAGATTCAAGAAAGACTGAAAAAGGTAAATGGGACAGAAAAGATACAATGTTGTTAATAAGGGCACTGTTTACATCCACAAGGGAATATGATACTTGCAACTCTTGAGAACAGTATTGTTATTACACCATGTTAAAGGAGTTTACATTAAGATGGTGGATATTAGTTGACTTTGATGTAATGATAAAAAAAAAAACTTAAGTGGGTAAATGGATCCAAGTAAGTGGATTAGTGTGATCTTAGAAAATGTACTGAGAGAGGAGGAGACAGACAAGGGCAAATTACATTACATGAAAAGACAGAAAATCCTATTACAGCAGAGAGAAAAGAGGGGTTGAGTATTGTCTGAACCTTACTCTTGTCCAATTTGGCTCAAGAAGCAAATAACATAATCAGTTAGGTATAGAAATCCAACTTGCCCTATAGGCAGTAGGAGGGAAAAGGGGAAAGAAAAGGGAGGGGTGATAAAAGGGAGGGAAGAAGTAGTTAGGGTAAAGGGGAAGAAAAGGGAAAGGGATAATAGAAGGGAGGAGAGACTGAAGGAGGTGGCAGTCAAAAGCAGAACACTAGTGAAGGGGGTAGAAGGAAAAAGGAGAAAGAAAAGCATAAACGGGGGAAAAAGGATGGAGAAAAAACTATCTTTTTTTCTCTTCTGTTGAGTTTTATTTCTTA